ATATATATATATATATTCCTCTTGTTGAGTCGCATCCTCCTCCACCTTTCACCCTCTCTTTTTTTTTCCCCGCCTGTACTTTTCCTGTGTGTCTAATGGGCTGAGAGACTAACAAAGAGTCTTAGTGCCCGTGACTGTGGCCGATCTGCAGCCACTCCCATCGTAAGGTCAAGTTCCGTTTGGCATAATAAATCATCCGCGTAATGAAATCCCATTCGCACTGCCTGCGAGAGACGCTCACGGAAACCAAGTCTATCTACTGAGATGTTTCTCGTTGGATCAGCAGTAGAAGCAGTTGTAACAGGAGCGGCAGACACTGCAGCCCCACCACCGAACGGTGTACTTACCCAATTCAGCCACCCAACGTATGAACTATACCAAGAAGCGTCCTCTCCTGCTAATGGTGTTTTTATTGTTGTTGTCGTTGCTTTTGTTGTTGCTGGAGCAGCAGCAGAAACATTCTTTTTGAGGTCCACACCTTTATGCACTATACTCTTATCTCCTAATTTCTCTTCACCGGCTCCCTGCTGTTGCTGCCACCACCACCCTTCTTTCCAACGCATAAAAGTCCTATATTGAGCCGCTAGATCCTTTACACTAACACCAATAGAGAGACGGCCCATAGAGTGTGAGAGTCTGCATGTAATACCAGGGACATGTTTGAGTGGACGCCAACCAACACCAGCATCCAACTCTGTACGATGCCATGTAATTAGATTCATCCGCAATCGTGCGGCGAGTTCTAGCGATGCGGTGGTGGTGGTTACTGAACAGCACGCACGACGAAGGGCATCAACGTGTGTGGAAAACGTTAATGCCCGACCAAAGTGACCACTACAACCAAAATACACATTTACACCGCTTGCTAAATCATTTTTCACAGCAAATCCGGCACCACAGCGAAGTTCTTCAAGATACCACCATTTAGACGTGTTTATACAGTCTGTGGAAGATGTCGCTTTACCTTCATTTACACGATAGTTGAAAGCAATATCGGTGGTATTTCCACCCTTCTCAGATAGTTTTGCACTGTCCCCAGTGGAAGTAATATCTACGACAGTGGGGTTCTTGACTAAATTCTTGTTGTTGTTGTTGCTGTTGTTATTATCGTTATTCCCACGTGAAAAGTCATTATGATCTCTATTTGAGTCTGTACCTCGATGCTGCTCATCTTTTCTAACTCCCTCAACTGCACTTACAACTGTCGAAGAAGAACCACTAGAAACACCAATAGAGACAGTAGAAGTAGTAGTAGTAGTAGTAGTAGTAGTACTGGTAGTATCGATACTAGTTGTGACATCACGAACTGAACCTCGAGATGAGTTATTTTCAACTTTCTCTATATTTTCACTGGGCGTGCATCGCTCCGCAGGTGAGTTCATGGAAAGAAGTGAGTTGCTCCGCGACCTATTGCCTCGCACGTAGAGACGCCAAAATCCACTCCAATTAATTAATAGTTTATCCGCTTGTATTGACCAATCTGTGGTTGGAGTTATACCGATAATTTCACAAAGCGGTAGTGTGCTTGTTCTCCATGAAAAAAAAACGGCATTTACCACAACAGCCCACTGCATTCGGCTGCAAATACACTCTAACTGAAAAACCTCGTTTGCATCAAATAGCGGCCGCCAAATGGATGAGGTAGCGGAAGAAGAAAAAACATCATTCGTCATACCCAAAGCGGCAAATAATCCAGCGTTTACATGAATACTTTCGCGACTAACAAGGGGCATAGATGCGTAAGAGTTCACCAGTACTTGACGTTGACTAATGTGAAATCGTGGGATAATATGAGACCCCTTCTCAGTCAATGTTCCACCACGTCTATCCGAGAGAGCCAGATCAACACAAGTACCTTTACGACTCCTATTCCCAACGGTCTCCGAGAATCGTCCCATAGAGCCATCCACCGAGTGTTGACTTACAGAGGAGGGAAGCGGTGCACGTCGTCGCACTCCATCTCCTCCCTCTCGCTCATTTCGAGATAATTGCCTACAATTATCCACTACACCACTACCACTACCACTACCAGTAGTAGTAGTAGTACTAGTAGTACCAACAACAGAAGAATTACAATCTGCAGAGGAGGCAAAATCGGATGAAACGTCAGAGCAGAATCTACTACCACGATGAGTTGGTGCCCAATCAATAATAGAAGCTGCCACAGGGGAGAGTTGAATATCAAAGCTGCGGTGCAAATGAAGAAAGTATGACATTAAAAATTGTGTTTCCAAATCCCCAGTCCTTGCAAACCACAAGCTACAAACCAAACCACCCCCGAAAACAAAAAAAAAAGGGAACACAATATATATATATATATATATGAAACACCAAGAGGAATAGTCTTTACAGGAACAGAAGATGACCATTACGAAAACAAAACAAAAAAAAAAAACCAACGTAACTAAACAAAAAAAAAAAAATCTCCCCAGAAAAATAACAACAACAATGTGCATAAAAACCAGAAAAAAAAAACAGAATAAATACAAATTTATTTCCACAACAATCCACATACAAACATCTTAATAACACTCTAGCTAAAATCCAACCACCACTCCCCTTCCTCCCATGACTACATCTTACGATATCAACCAGTAATCGAACACGATGCCATCAACGATGAAGGGAGGGATTTTAGTCCAATTAAAGAGTTCAGGGTTCATGATGAAGTAACCTTAACCATAAGAAAAAAACAAGCGACCAGATCTCACTAACTCTGTTTCCATCCTGGTCTCCCACCGCTCACCATCCATGGTCCAGTTCGCAGGGACACTTATATTTGTGCGCCGTCCCACAACAAACCACCCCTTAAGGGATGTCTGGGTTTTCTTCTTCGCCTCGTAAACACGCCGCACCTTGTCAACGGTCCTCGCCAGCGAGGAAGTGAAGAGGATGTCCATGTTGGCGTACATGATGGCCTTGGCAGAGGGGTAGGTGCTGATGGCCTTCTGGAACAGGCCGCGGTATGTGGGCTG